ACACTTAAATTATTCCATAGTTTTACCCCACTTATGGAAATACAAAATCTTTTTTTGGTTGTACATATAACATGAATTTTTAAATTTAACTGACCCCTTAAATTGTATCCCCCTTCCCTTTCATTAAATAGTTTTTGAATTCCACCAGGTAATAAATTGTTCCTGGCTTTATACATAAACACAGCAGTCGTATATCCCACTAAATCAAAAAATTTTAACAATTTAGACTGTATGAAAGCTACATTGGTGTGATCCCTATACCCCATCTTATGCACAATTCTTATCGCTCTTTTTTGTAATATATACAATGGTTGAAGTGAGCTTTTGTAAGTGTTTCCCCAGTTTTCAACACCATACTCTAAGTATGGTAAAATCAATGAAGAATACAAAATGCGTAGTGCTTTCCTGTCCAAAATATATTTCACCCATGCCAATATCGATATATTTTTTGCTATTTTATTCTGAACACTACAACTCTTTAGAGTAATGTAATATCTCACCAGATCTAAATTTACTGATGTGAGGATGAGCTATTTTCTCTGCCTTTTATCATTTCAGACTGTTGATCAAACAAAATAAACAGCTGAACTACATGTCACTTGGGTTCTGAGAACATGTCAAGGAACTTTCCTTATTGACATTGATTAACCATTTTTATAACAAATACCAAACTAAGAATTTAAAATGTTCTAATATTTTAAAAGTGCTCTGGATTTCATTAATGTTATATCAGTAGCTAGGTCTAAATCGTTTACAAATTAAAGCGTTGTCTCTCTGAGGCTAACCGTTTACATAAACTCCAATAGACGCGTGCTGCCTCTTCCTCTGTTTATCAGACTTTTTTCTCTTTCTGTGATCAGCTGTTGTGGAGAGGCTGATGACATATTTCCGCTTTCACACCCGACATTACAGCAACAAGGCTGGGGACAGCAAGACGACGGTATCAGAGGACCTAACAGGTACATGATTAACGCTCCTTGAAGCGGTAATGTGGCATCCGTTAGCATAGTTATTCAGTCAGTTAAATGTGTTGTCAGCACGAAGTACGTATTAGTCTCAACGAATTTCTACAAAAGCTCCGGGAATCTAACGTTAGCCGACAAGCTAACTTCGTTCCCTTGGTTTCACGACAGGAGTCATAACATGAGCAGAGCTGGCCGGAGGGGTCTGTGTTATTTCCTGAGTGTATTCGTCATTTTGGGAACATAAAGGCTACACTGGAAAATAGCGAAATTAGCTCAGTTAACTATGTATAAAGTAGAGTAGATAATTTTCTGTTCGTTAACCTAGTTGTTTTGGCAGTTCGCTGTAAACATGACGCAGCGCGCCAGGTGTCAGGAAGTGTGAACTCGTAACTCTTCCTCAGCAGCCGTGAATTTCTCTTTTGATGTGCGAATGTTTTTACAGAAACACATAGTATGAGTTAACGTATATATTTAATGCTGCAAATAGTTGCTAGTACCATTAGCAGTTTATCTACTAAATATTTTTTCGATTAGTTTGCCCTGTCAAAAGAGGAAGTAGTGAAAAATGAACACGATAAAAGCTTTTTGTATTTAATCAATAGTCCAAAACTCAAATATGTAGACTTAGCTACAGCATAAAACTAGTGAGTATCACGAATACACAGAAGAAGCTGGAGCCATCACGTTTCTACCTAAACTAATTATTTTTATTATCAGTTAAACTCGTGTGATTAGCTAACTAATCCCTGTGTTAATAATACATCAGAAAATGGTGAGAAATGCCCATCGCAACATCCTGTCAAAGGTGATGTGTGCAACAGTCCAAAATACCAAAATATTAAACTTACAGCAATCTAAAATGTTATTTTTTGTTACTTGTGATAAATCCTGTAAAAAGACCAAGTGTTGCCGTTTTTGACAAAGTCTACTGTAACATGATATAATTGTTATATTCTGTTTTGAAGATATCACTATCAATTACACTTCATGAAAGTATAGCTTCCTTCTCAGCAGAGTCAGACTTTGTCTCTTTTTTTTTATATATGGTTGGAAACCACCAGCAGGTTTGGTGAGGCAGATGTTGTAGAGGTGGAACGCCACCCCCCACCCAGCACAACAAGGACTATTTCAGGTTTTTTGCTGAGCATAAAATGGTGAGGCTTTGAGTAAGTTTTCCCCTCAGATGAGTCCTGAGTTATGATATTGAACTCTTCTTGAGCTCAGGTCTTCAGAGCCCACACTATTACTAATATGAGCCATGGACTCTGGAGCAGCTGATAGTCCTGTAACCCTGGTCATAAAGGCCCCCAACCAGAAGTATGAAGACCAGACCATAAACTGCCTCCTCAACTGGACCGTGGAGAAGCTGAAGAGTCACATCTCCAACGTATACCCTAGCAGGCCGGTAAGAAGCTTGACAGTTGCCTTACTTTTGGCTTTGCTTTGTGTCTGAGTGAACTAAATTCACTTGAAAAAGAGTGTAAATGTTATTATGGCGTTTAAGTGGGCACAGAACTAGATTAATTTTGGCTTTTGGCATAAGTTTACAAAAAGACAAAGAGCTTCAACAAAAAAATATTTTCATTATCAATTCATTTGCCATTTATTTATTCAAGTGATTACTGATTGATTTACAAAACATCAGAAAACAGTAAAACTTGCCACACATAATTTCCTGATGCAGATATCTTCAAAATGCCCTTTTAGCCTAACACACCAAGGCCAAAGATATTAAACTTACTATAATGTAAGACAAGGAAAAGCATAGAATTATCACATTTAAGAAACTAGAAATAGCAAATTTTTGCTTTAATAATTACGTAATGCTTTTATCTTAAGTAAATATCAGTGGTATTTTATCAAATAAAATAAATATCTTGCAAAACAATTCACTTATTCACTCATTTTATTCTAACTAAGTGGATGAAAGAAACATTTCCAACCACTCTTGCAGCATAATTCACTTCTCCATGCATAGTGTAGTGTGCTCCAAACATCATAGGGCTAATTACAGCACACCCGTCTTTATCCTGAGCAATGACACGGCTGAGGTTGATAACAGGTGCATTGTGTTAGTCTGTGTCTCCTGCTCACACTTTGGGTGAAAAATAATCTGCTCTTAAATTTCGTCCTTACATAGGGAATGCTGCATTTTTCAGTTGTTTACCAGTTTTGACAACTCAAATATCAAACTTTTAGCCACTTTGCACTTTGGAAGATAGTAATCAGAATGATTCATTTTTTTGGCATTTCCCAGTTTTGAACTTAGAAGATTGTGCCTGAACTATGTAGTATCTGATCAGCTTTCCGGGTGACACTGACTCATGTTTATGACCTCAGATTTTAGCTGGAGGGGCATCGCAGTTAAAGGCCTATTTGGGAATACTTTTCTGGTTTTAAGAATAAGCCTGATACACAGACGTATAATACCCTACTGCTCAGTACTGTGTGCAGACGTGCTTATTCAAATGGGTTCATTTGACTATGCTGCCACAACAGAGACATGCCAATGAAAATGTGGAGGGGTGTAGTTCTGAATATTTCTTTTTTAAATGCACGGTGCTTTGTGCCTGTGCCTACATGGTGATCGGAGTGTGCTGGATAAAGAGAAAGAACATAGGCCTTTGAGTTTGTGTTGTTGTTGATTTTCCTTCACGGTGAAGTGCTCCTCTGAAAATGACATGGAGGGCCTCATCTGAGAAGAAATGAAAGCCTTGTGAAGCGCAGAGATACGAGAATGCTTTTAGTAAGCTTTGAAATCGAATCTAGCCCAGCAGTCTAATCTAATCCAAAGGTGCCTAATCACTTTACACACATTAAGGATTTGATTCACTGGATCTCATGCCATAATATTCCACCAAATGACAAGGCCTTGACCTTCTCCCAGCTGGACACAGAAACATTAGAGCCTCCTAGAAAATAATAATTTGAAGTGCTTATGTTTGTACTTTACATCAGCGTGGGGTTTACTGTCAGCTGTTTGTAACAAAAAGGTAGTTAGTGTATCCTTGACATATTTGTTGTTCAGGGTCCACATTCATTCTTGACCATGAAAACAGTGTCACCCAGTGTCTTTATCAGCAGAGTGATGTACCATGTTGTTGTGGAACTGTAGTAAATTCAGGTTTCCATTTTTCTCAGCACACTAATGATGTCGTGTCCAGGTTCACTTAAAGTCTGAGGCTAAAAAGTCAACTCTCGACCTTGGAAGCACTTAAATGAAAACACATTTGCACAGTTTCACACATTTCTTTCCCTGGCCATATGATGCTGTTTGTGTTGCAGCTGTCCAAAGACCAGCGGCTGGTGTACTCAGGAATGCTCCTTCAGGACCACCTGCAGCTCAGAGATGTGCTTAGAAAGGTAAGGACTGACTGCAGTGCTGGTTTGCTGTGTGACCATTCATTAGGTAAATCCTTGGCAGCCCACCCAAATAGATTTTGCTCTACTCAAAAAAAGAACACGTATTTGACGAATGTCTGCTTTTTTCCTCTGTGCATTAATGAATGCTCTACTGATCTAGCAAAGGAATTCACTGATGTCCAGAGTTGTGTCAGTAAAAGTGGGGTGGCAGAGTTACCACAGAAAATGCTCTTTTTACATTTATTTAGGTGATGATGTTCTAGTGTTCTGTTGTTTCATCCATTTGAATTTTTTAGAGCTAGAAGACTGTGGCACCAGTATGAAAGGAGTCACACGTCTAGAAAGAGCTGGTGAACCACCACATGTATGATTTATTGTGCTTTAAAAACACACTTCTTTCATGCACACATGGTGAAATGAGTAGTGAGCAGTCGTAAAGATGTGTAGTATTCCTTGAACAAAAAAAAAAACACTGGTACCTCATCTGTGATACACTTGATTTACTTGTCATGGTAAAATGCTGCTTGTAAGGTGGGGAGTGAGATGTCACAGTCACAATGTCACAAATGATCAAATTTAGCTCATTAGCTTTTACTAAATGAATATGGAACTCGAGTGCTTGAGTGGTGAGTGCTTAGTAATACCCTGGACACAACCAAGCCCAGGTTTTTTTATTTATTTATTTATTTTATTTAAATCGTCCAGTGCTACAGGAAATTGTGAGTAATATTATTGTGGTGAGCGTCTGTTCAAAAAGTGTGTTTGTCTGCAGCTATTCATGCCACTGACACTTCTTCAGAAGCCTCAGTTGTTCAGACCATGCTGGCTGTGTTTGTCTCTGTGTACGTGCAGCTTGGGGGGGAACTGAAACAGGCTGCCTGGGAAACAAAAGCTGATCTGATGTTTTTTACCAACAAAGGGTGAGCGTTGTGTTTCCACACTAATCCTTTCTCTCTCTCTCTCTCTGTCTGTTTCTTGTTTTGTCTCTCTGATCTATTGCTGCCTTCACCTCCTCCTCCTCCTCTTCTTTCTGTTCGTCCCACATCTCCCATTTGTGTTTTGGACCCACAGCAGGATGGTTACCACATGATGCACCTAGTGTGTGCCTCTCACAGTCCTCCAGGCTCGCCCACGCCTCGCAGCCCCTCCATGGCCACCTTTTCAGCTCCTGACTCCAGCGTGAGTAGTCCAGCACCCCACACTCCTCTTATACAACGTGTATATGACAACTTTGTTGTTTGGAGTTGAGGCTCGCTATCTGACACACACACACACACACACACACACACGGCTGAACACACACAGTGGGAAAACTGATATGCTTAGAGAGTTGTGAGCTGTGCTGAACCA